GCTCTGTTAAAGCCCTGCATTTCATTCAGGATTCATTCAGAGATGGCCTCACATTTGAACAGTGATGAGAATAACGATGTTCTAAGTAACGGTAACTAAGTAATATAAGTAATTACTGCTACCTATCGTTACAACGCCGTTACTAAAATGCGGTGCGGTCGCGTTTTTTCAACAAACAGACGGTTGAAGCTGTGTTCAGGTTACCGCACCTTATATCAGTTGCACGTGCAATTGCAGTTGCAAATATTTGGAGTAGCACAAATAATTTGTGTGGCATCTTATTGAATGCAGAACAGCTGATTGTTCTGTAAATAGTTTGAAATGGTTATTTAAAAAAAAGAGTAAAAGGTAAATCTCTGCAAATAACTTTGTTGTTTGCAAAACTTGTGCGTATGATTTTAAAACTGACAATTTATATTTGTATTCAAAGTTATGAAATATGATTCATTAAACATGTTTGTGGTTGTTACAGTAAAAAATATAACTTTTTTTACTCAGAGTTAATGTTTTTTTATCTGATTTTAGATCAATTGTGTTAATACAGTATATCAAAATGAAAACATAACTGTAAATTCCGACATGTGAGGCTGTGCTGAAAAGGATGATACCAAACAAGGCAAAGGAAAACGTTTTTAAAGGTGAAATGTAGAGGGAGAATTGAAAGTAGCCAATGATGCTCTGAAATTAAACATTTTTTTAAAGTAACGCAATACTTACTTTTCCTAGTAATGAATTACTTTTAGAATCTTGTAACTCAGTTACTTTTTTGAAGAAATAATTAGTAACTATAATTAATTACTTTTTCATAGTAACTTGCCCAACACTGCATTAGACTGTAGAATACTTTGGTATACAGAGTTCATGGTTGACTCAGTGACTCCAAGGTGCTCAGGTCCTGCTGTGTAAAAACCAAACAAACCCAAATCGTCGCGCCTGCACCACCGAGCTTGAAAGCTGGTATGAGGTGTTTGTGCAGAGACTCTGTTTGATGTGCACTGTGGCCAGACATCTCCGCTTTGGTGTCATCTTTCTGAAGGACATTATTCCAGAAATCTTGTGGTTTGTTCAGATGCAATTTTGCAATCCTGAGCTGAACATTTAAGCTATATTTTCAGAAACAGAAGCTGCATCTGTTGTTTATACAGCATTTAGCTGCATTTAGCATTCAATGTTATCCTGCTTTCCGCTTGTGGCTACAGAGACTGCTGCTGCAGATGTATATAGTGGGTATACTGTAGATGTGTAGATGTCTATAGTATATTTATTCACTTTATATTCCCGCACTTACTGAACATGTACCAGTTAGAGTTAGTTTTTTCCTGTCTCCTATTTCAAGGCAGAAAAATCAAATGAAGAGCAAAAAAAGAGGAGGAAAGGTGATGGAGAAAAAGCTTTTTCATGGCACTGACTCCAAAGATGTAGACGCCATCTGCCACCACAACTTTGACTGGAGAATCTGTGGAACTCATGGAACGGCTTATGGCAAAGGTGAGTTAAAACGGTTATTGAATATTCAAATTATGTTTTCAGAAAAAATACGTTTAAAATCAAAAATTC